GGGGGGGGGGGGGGGGGGCACGGAGCACCCAGGGATCAGGAGTCATCCCTCCCGGGGGGCTGTGAGCAGCCGCCCGGTGCCACAAAGACTTTGGGACAGGTGGAGCTTCCTTTGGGAGGGAAGAGGAATTGTGGAGTGCTGATTCCCCTCGTGTGAGCGGAGCTCGGTGTGACGCTGAGCTCGGGGTGAAGGTGGTTTTACTGGTTGGTGCGGGCTCTGCAGTCACTCCCCAGGGTGCCCGGGCCGGGTGTACCCCAGTGCCGGGGGAGGTGGCTCCTGGGGGTTGTGCAGAATTCCTGGTGGAGTCCGTTGCTGTGTGAATGGAGCAGCAGTGCCGGGTCTGCACCGGGGCACGGCTGAGTCACACTGAAATGGTGCAGCTAAAGGTGTCCCAGAGATCCTACCCCTGGGAGGGGGCCGGGCTGAGCTGGGACAGGGGCTGAATCCGTGGAATCCAGCGGGGATCAGCCTAGGGGGGTCAGGTTTAGCAGGATTTTCATAATCCCACATTATAATTACTCCAAGTGCAGGTTTAGATCTCCTTTGGGTCAGCAGCAAACTGCAATCCTGGGAGGGACTCCTGCACTCCAACTCACTGATTTCACCCCTGTAAAGGGTGCAGGGTCCTCCTGTTCCTTTCCCACTGATTCCCAGTTGAACTCCAGACCCAGCTGAACCGAGCCCCAGGACAAACTGGGTGTTTGCCGTTTCCTGGTAACACTGACCAAGAGAGGTGAATCTTTCCTTCTCAAAGTTCTGGCAATGGATACCTGACTGGAAGGTTTTGGGACAAGACTTCCCAGAACTTCCCTGATCTGATTCAATGGGTTTTTGAACATAATTTATATTTTTAATTGCCCATCACAGACACGGGTGAGACTGAGGCCACCAGGGGTGCCTGAACCATGACTGTGCTGGGCAGTTCTGCACCCCAGGGTGATTGGCTCAATCCATGGAATATTTGGGATGCATTCCTGAGATCAGGTGACTGAGCCTCAGATTAAGAGGGCACATGTGAGGCAGTACCTTTCCCTGGGGTTGTGCAGCCAAACCTGAGCACATTCCAGTGGGATTTGTTTGCAGAGGCTCTGGCTACACACAGCCAACTTTGGAGTCGTTTTTGCTGCTGTGCTTGCTCTGATTTTGATTGGGATGAGGGATGGAAGCTGAGCAGGTGCTTGTACCCCCCAGGGGTCCTCCTGGAATGCCCTGGGGAGGTTTTTCCAGGAAACTTTCCAGTGTTGCAGCTTTGGGGAAGGCAGGTTTTGCTCACTTTATTTCGAGTGGAGAAGTTACTGTTTCTCTGCAGAAAATGCTGGGCAGTGCTGCCAGCACTAAATAATTGTATAAAACTGGCTTCCACATTTCTTCTGGATCTGTTTAATCAAAGGCTGTGGAATTTTCAGCACCAGTTTTAGGTGGATGTGTAGCTTGGCTAAACTCACTGTCCATATTCCCATTTTTAGTTCAGCTGGCCCAGGAAAATGAAGGCCTGGGTGCTGTATTTTAAACCTGAATCAGTTTATTTGCATCTATTTCTGTTAATGTCAGTAAGTAAAGATACTGTTTTCTTTGCCATAAAGTGATTATGAAAAACCTGAGTCTTCTTCATAAAAGCATACAAATCCATGGACAAAGTCCCTTTGGGAGGCTGCTTTCTTCAGGATTGTGCCAATTTATAGTGATGGGACAGTACTTCACATGATTTTTTTAGTAAAATGTGCAGTTTTTACTAGCAGTTCCCGTCACCATCTGTGCTTCAGGCTGGAAGAATGCCACCCAGGCTGTGACAGTGTCAGAGCCCTCATCATCCCAGAAACTGCTGTTCCTGCCCTTGCACCTCAGACACTCAAGTCCTCTACAGCATCTCTTTCCAAATTAAATCAGTGCCTGAACTCATTAGCAGACAGTATGAGGTTTAACTTTAACCATATCCCCCCTACAAGAACCCCCAGGTTTCCGTGGGATCAGCTCTCAGTGCCTCGGGATTGTTGCATTTCCTTTCCAGTGATTTCACAACATCCCTGTGGCAACCTCAGCCTTGTGAAGATGGGCAGCTGGGAGGGAGCCCTTGTCCATGTGGCTGTGATTCACTGCTGGGGAGGCTGTGGCACCACATGGAAAACACATCCAACAGGAGCCACCGACAGGACTCTGCCTCCTGCTCTGCCCCTTCCCTCCCTTTGGGTCCCACCCTTATCTTTGCCAGGGGCTCTGGGAGTTCTTCCTTCTCTTTGTAAGCAACTGCAAAATCAAGTGGGAGAGAGAAACGCTGTTGAGGCAGGAAAATTGCGTAGTTCTTGTTTCAGAACTGTTTCAAGGTGGTGTCTGTGCAGGGCTGTGCTGTCCCATGGTCATGAACAGGTGGGAATCCTCTCCTGGCTGAGGACAGCCAGGATGGCTGAATTCCCATGACCTGACTGCACCACCTAACCCAGAGTGTGTCTTTTGTGCTCTGAGGCAGTTGGAGAAAGTAGCTTTGTAGTCAGAACTTGGGGTTGTTTGTTGCATTGACAAAACTTCTGGTTTTTTGTTGGAGAAGCAAACCAGAACATGAGGATGGAGCAAGGTGGGGAGAGGGATTTCGTCTTGTCCTCTCTGCCAGCTTGGGAAAGGTCACCAGTGAGCTGGTACAGAAATATTGTTTCTTGGAAGGCAATTAGAGCCACTTCCCTTGGGTTCATGGCTAATTGTTTGTTAAAGCAGTGAGTCATGCCTGAGGAGCTCCAAGCCAGGGTACAAATTGGTGTAGTCTTATATTCTCCTCTGAATTACAGCAGTGGGGACATACTGATGAACTCAGTGCTGGAGAGGAGCTGCATCCCTTGTGAGTGATCCATTTGCATTGCCACCTGGATAATGGGCACTGCTCCGTCCAGGAGGGTGCCACTGCTGGATAGTGTCACCTCACTTCACCTGTGTCAGTAGAACTTTGGTTTGACTTTATCAGACAAACAGCATTTATAGCATTTCTGTTCCTCCCTGAGGAAGGGGAAAGCAGAGAGGATACAGGCAGAGCTGGCTCAGCGTGTTTCCAGCAGTGCTCTGCTGCTTGGTTCACTTGGGAAGCTGAAAGGAACAAAATTCATCTTGAAACCCAGCTTGGGAATAACCTTCTTTGTTTTAGGGGGAAAAACATATGGAACCCTCTGGAAAGCAGTCAGTAGGTCAGGCATGCAAGGTTTTCCCACATTGTCTATACTTTGGTTCAATACTGTGTGTAAGGGCTGGTTATTGCTGCATTCTCTGGATTTTGGACTTGCAGCAGTTTGGAGTGGGAGCAGTGCAGCCAGTCTGCAGTTACCAACCAGCTCAGATGGGCAGGTGCCCATGGAATGAGCTTTGGGATTTTACAGGAGTCTCAAGCTACTGCCTGGGTGAGGTTTGTCTGCAATTTGGTGTCTGGTTTTAGCCCAGATTGCCAATAAACCTCTCAAATGTTGTGACTTCACTGAGCTCCTCAAGGTGGTGAGCTGAGGGAACTGAAACATTGAAACTGAGCATGAGTTGTACTGGGGGGCCTCTGCTACAGAGCTGGGACAGGTTAAAAATGGAGTGGGAATACCTGGGGAAAGTGCTGCAGTAACAGAGTGGGGGTTGTTGAAGAGGTACTGTGTTACTGAATCTTTCTGGTTTCATTCTTTAATCAGGATCTAGAGCGGATGCTTTTAAGGCATTGAATTAACACGTTTACATGCACATCACTTAGTATCTTGTTCCGGTGAAAAAATAAGTAGCTTTCAGTGCTTGCTCCACAAGGTATCAGTTTGGGAGGTTCCTGGACTTGGTGCCAAAATAAAGGGCAGCACTGCAGATCACTGGGGTTTGTGTCTATGGGGTACTGTGTATTTTCAGCTCCTTTCCTAGTGAATACTGAAAGTGGGCTTGTAACACAAATGAGGACAAAGTTTGTTAGGATAGGACAAGGGGAATGGTTTTAAACTAAAAGAGGGTTGATTTAGACTAGATTTAAGGAAGAAATTCTTGGCTATGAGGGCGGTGAGGTGCTGAAATGGATTTCCCAGAGAAGCTGTGGCTGCCCCATCCCTGGAAGTGTCCAAGGCCAGGTTGGACGAGGCTTGGAGCAACCTGGGCTAGTGGAAGGTGTCCCTGCCCATGGCAGGGGGTGGGACTGGATGGGCTTTAAGGTGCCTTCCAACCCAAACCACCCTGGTGCATTTCTCCACTGTGTCCTAGTTGTGAACATTCAGCTCCATCGATGGCCCTGGGTGTGAACTTTGCTCTCTGTACAACCTGTGGAATGTCTGGAGTTACAACCTGCTCATAAATCCAGAGTGTTTGGCTTTGCCTTCCCACAGCATCCACTTCCCCACTTCTTCCATCATTTTTCCTCCACGGTTTGATGTGTGAGGGTCAGGATAAAATCTTGGCAACTCCCAAAAGAACAGT